AATTTTATTGTACTTCATTTAACTATTTATCAACATAATAAAAAATTATTTTGACGATTGGACTTTCCGTACCCACGAAAGTTTAATTTTAAAATTCCCGTTTTTATTTTGGAAGACAACTCTTGTTTATGATTTCATAAAGAAATAAATATAGTGCAATTTCTTGAGAGTGCTATAATTGAAGCCACAATTTTATAAAAGCAGAAATTAATATCTACTAGACTCTATTATCACATGTAAATATTTGGAATAACTCCGATCATTTCGGCCAAAATACGACACATCCCAATACAATTCAGTGTTAATATTTCACTCAACTTAATGTGCCTCGATACCCGAGGAATCGGTTCCAACCTTACACCAAAACACTTATGTTGAATATATTCAAATATGTTAATAATATTAAATTAAACGAAAGAAAAGCACGGTCTAAAAATTTCTCCCAGTATTGGCTACAACCATAAATAATATGATTTTCTCAAAAATTTATTGAATACTATCATTGCATAGGAATTGATTAACAGCGGTAAATATTCACGAGTCGCTGACACGACATTTCAAAAATGTTGATTTTTAGTAATTGGTAATAGGCAGTGTGGTAGATCTACGGACGGGGTTTTGACACCGAAAACCAAAATCTACTTAATCGGCAGCTGATAGTTCGGTAATAATAAAAGATTAACGAACAATTTATACTGTTATAGTTAATAGATCGATTCATAGAGCCCGCCAATATTATAAAATCAGATACAATTGAAATGAAAATTGAGAAGAATTTACGGAGTAACATCAATATTATAAATATGCTGGAAGATAGAAACACCCCAAAAAGAAATTCTGGATCTGCTCCTGTGAGCAAACATGTGAAAACATAATTAACTTCGATAATAAACTTTAAAATTTCAATAGCCAGTATGTAGTATAGTAAGTTTATAAATATGTGCTTCAAATATGCATTATATGTTTTTTCTTTTATATGACATATAGTAATAGTAATTGCCTTAATTTATAGATTCTACTGCATTTTGACTGTTCACTTTTTGGCATCAGGTTGACTTTAATTGACATTGTCCTTCGTCAAATATTAAAATGTCTATGCTTACCTCGGCTCACCACAGTGTCTAAGATATATTAATATGTACATATACTTATATAAATCTTTCTTGTATATATGCCCAATATATTTTATGTACATAGCAAGATTTTGAAATATTACTCAGACTCTTCCGATAATTTTAAATGCCACCTTTTATCGAAAATGCAAATGTATGTTGGTATATACGCGCTTCTATCAATCCTTTATATATAGGAAACTTTATATACTTGTGTTCGAAAATATAAAAGTAATGCCACATATATACAAATATTATATACGATATGTAATATATATTATATATAGTTATATACAATTATATAGCTGAGCACCAAAATAAGATCAGAAATTGTGATCAAATACAG